GGGGTTGTGGGTGGGTGGGTGGCTGGTGGCTGGGGACAACTTGTAAAATCAAATGCTGTTAAGTTTTACCCTTTCTGCCCGTTTATCTCTTCGCATTTTAGGGACAGACAAAGTGAGGGCTGATGGGATGTGAGAAAGAGGCTGGGTTTTTTGGGTCAAAGTGGGCATTGGGCCTGCTCCAAAATTGGTCAACTCTACCCTAAACAGTCCTACAATTGGGAAGATTTCTTTTCTCTCTCTTTTAGTTTTTTATTTTAAATATTAATCATATGCTTTCATTATTACAAGACTATAGGGTAACCTAATATTTAAGAACGTTAACAAAATATTTGAAAATATTAATACATAATTATACAATGTATAGTATTAAATAATGGAGACAAATATATAACTTTTTTTAAATATATATAAACAACTAGATTACCCTATAGTTATAATAATGAAGTACATGACTAATATAAAATAAAAAATAATTTAGTAATAAAATATAATTAGTATTATAATATATTTTTAAAAATCTGTAGAAAGAGTATAAAATATTATCAAATAAATACATATAGAAAAATACAGAAAAACAATGTGTGTGCACACGGGGTTGTGTACCAAAATGGCACTCATCCTGCTTCGGTGATTTTGGGGGTGGCTGCTCTGTCCCACTACCTGCTTACTTTACTTCAATGTCTTGACTTTTTTCCTCGTAAATCCATTGATACACATACACTATCTCTGTCTCACCAATTTATCCCTCATCCACCATTCCTCTTTTTTCTTTTTCTGCACCTCATTCCTATTCTCAGGCCCCACCATCTTTTTATTAGTCGAAATGGGAATTGGATAGTCAATGCAAATTCTAGTGTTTGATTCTATATGGGAATGTTTAAATTTGTGGATTTTTACTCTTCAAGGAATTGGAAGTAAATCAAAATTCATGGTAAAATAGTTATAGAATTAAACACGAGGTTGGTGTTAATAAAATTGCTCCCTGGAGAAATTGTAGTTCTGTTTCACTCAAGTTCCTCAAACCTGACCTAGGTCTGAACAGAACCCCAGTCAGCCATGTGTGGATATCCTAGATGAAAGCTGAATCTCATTTTCGGTTGCAGATCCCTTGTTTATAAACTCTTCCCCAGCTTTACAAGAATTATCATTTTGAGTCATTAATGGTTGTCAGAATACATGATCTATGTTGTGGTTAACTGCCAAGCTCATGGACCATGTAACAGGTTATGTCTGGCTGAATTAGATACCTGACTTTTAGCTAATAGGTTGGATATCCTGGTGAGCGAACATATTCCACATGATTCATTTTGCTATTTGATTACAACTTAAAGGCAAAAATGTTGGTATAAAAGGTCACAATTTGATTTGTGCATGTATTTTTCTTATGTTCTCTATTTAAGTTGTTTTGTACTTACTGCTGCATAAATTTATATTTTATATTGATTTTATACTATTGATATAATATATTGCTTTTGGTATTTTCTCAACTATGCAGTTCTTATTTAGTTAGGTTGATCTACTTTTCTGTTTGTTCTCTTCATCCTTCAAGACTAGTTTATAAATATTTTTGCCTTATTTTGTAGAAATCTATGGAAATGTGTATAGTTTTATAGTTTTGTACAGGACTTACACTTTTAACATTTAAATTCCATTTCTCTATCTCCAAAGGGCTGAGGAAAAGAGATAATAAAATAGCTCTGCTCCTACTAGTCATCTATTTTATGCTTTGATGGTTGGCATATAATATGTGATTTATTTGTCTGAATGTCATTGATTTACTTAGGGGAACTGGCAAGCACTGTTGAAGAGCTGGAAGAAAGCAATCACAAACTGGCAACTCTTAAGGCAGAGAGAGATGCTGCAAAAGGGGCGGTTCTCCCAGTCTTGAATGTTGGAAGTACTCACATTCCTAATGATAAAATCAGAGATAAGCAAAAGGATTTGCAAGATATGGAATCTACTTTGAAGGAGCTATTGGTATTGTTCTTGGAGTCTTCGATTTAGTCTTAGAATTCATAGGTCATTGTAACTTAATTGTTGAGTTTCTCAGGAACAAGGTTCAACTCGATTAATTGAACTGAAAAGTCTTCACGAGGAAAGAATACGAATATTACAGCAGTTATGTGATCTACAGGTTTGTTTTCCTCCGAACATTGTACTCTAATATTTTAATTAGTATATATATATATATATAGTTAATCACCTATACACTGCTAGTGTAAAGTTTTTTACACTGGCAGTCAACCAGAGTCGTTAATAGTGTCTTTTTTATTTTAATTTAATTAAATGAGCAGATGAAAAGACACTATTAACGGCTCTGATTGACTGTCAGTGTAAAAAAACTTTACACTGACAGTGTATAGGTGATTAACTCATATATATATAGGAGAGATCTACTTACTCCGAGAGTAAGTCTACCTAGCTTTACTCCACTCAATAACTCATTCGACATCAAATTCAACGATCCAACTGTCGGATTAAAAGTTTTTAATGCATAGATTAAGTTTATAAATTTTTAAAAAATTTGAAAATTATTTGATACTCCATTTCATTAATTCAAATCAATGTATAAAATTATTTTATGATTATCCGTCAATTTGAATAAATAAAACGAAGCATAAAATAATTTTTCAATTTTTCTTAAAATTTTTAGAATTGATTTATGCATTAAGAACTTTTAATTTAGTAGTTGGGTCGTTAAAATTTAATGTAGAACTTGAGTTATTGAGTGGAATAAGTCTATGTAAACTTATTTTTGGAGTAAGTAGATCTCTCCTCTCTCTCTCTCTCACACACACACACACACACATATATATACACACACATATATATATATATATATATATAAAATTTAACAGTTGAATCGTTAAAATTTAATGTAGAACATGAGTTATTGAATGAAGTAAGTCTAGATAGACTTTCTCCTAGAGTAAACAGATCCCTCTTATATATATATTGTCTCATAATATAGTTATAGATAATAATATAAAATTATAGCTTTATTTTAATCAGACTTTTATAAAATATAATTATTTTATTATAACTAATATTAAGAAACTGATAGTTTAAATTTATATTTAATTGATAGATGAATCTAAGACGAAGACTTAGAATACTGATAAAAAAAATATTAATTCAGACATAATTTGCTTAAAATCTTAGAAAATAATACACGGTATTTAATTATTATTTATTATAAGCAACGGAAAAAGAAATTATTAGCCAAAAACTGAAATATTGCTAAACTTTCAATGCATGATAAAATTTAAATTATATTTAATCAGTATTTATATTTATATATAATAATGATATAGAGTTATAGACTTTGGTAATTAGTTAAGAGATTACATTCAGTTATTGAAAATAATGAATAATATAGTAATTATAAAAAAGTTTAAATATGTTTTTAGTCTCTATAAAATTGATCTTTACCAAAAAAAAAGTCTCTATAAAATTGATAATTTTGATTTTGGTTCCTTTAAAAAAATTTCTTTGTTTTTTATCTTTCTAAAATTTATAAACATTATTTTTTGATCCTTGTAAAATGATTAAATTTTAATTTTGATCTCTATAAAACTCATAAAACTATATTTATTATACAGATGGTGTTACATATTTTTATCAATTTTATACTAGTATTTTAGTTTGTACAATGCACATACTAAATATTTATTATATAAAACTAAAATTTATAATAAATTAAATATACAAAATAAATAAAATATTTGAATATAAAAATTATATTTAAAACTTATATAAATAGATATTATTAAACATATAAATTATATTTTAAATTTATAATAAATAATTTATATTATAACACAAGATTAAAAATTAATTCACAGATAATTATGATAAATAAAAATCAAATTAGATAAAAATAATTAAAAGTTCCTCTAAACTAAAAATTCTCTGGTCAAAAAGGAAATCTTAAAAATGCTTTTGAAGAAAATAATTAGTCTTGTTTAATATATAAAAATTAATTTAACCTAAAGTCAATATTTTATTGTACAATGTATTATGAACATATTTCTTTCTTTAAATAAAAAATACAATCTTAAGATCATTTTGTCTTATGATATAATTTTGACTAAATTGTGTTTTATAATGAAATTTAATACTTAAAAAATGAATATGTATTAATTTTAATTTTTTAACAAATATATTATTCCTCAAATTAATGAAAAGTTAACTACTAAAGGAACTCATATGTTTAGGATTCTATTTTTATTTTAATTATTGGAAATCTCACTTATTTATTGACTGTAAAAAGAGACAAAAATTTGATCATGATTTACTACTTCTGTTTCAATCTCATTGATTAATTTATAATGATTTTCAAAGGAAAAAAAATTGAAACATATATTTGACTTCTTTTTAATAAGCTAGTATTATTTTTGTTAAAAAAAGTATTATTCCTCAAATAAAGTAATCCATATATAAGATTAGGATTTTATTCTTATTTTAATTAATCAAAATCCTTTTTATTTATTGACAGAAAAAAGAGACAAGAATTTGAATGTAATTTAATCAAAGAATTTTTTTATCTATCAAAATGGACAACCTAATTAAGACTATCTAGCTACTACCTAACTCTCCAACAGGAGATCAATCTTAATAATTTATATAATCAAAAAATTTAATAGTTTTGTTTCAAGCTTATTGACTTATAATGGAATTTAATACTTTGAAAAAAAATTGAAATGTGAATTTGATTTTTATTAATGTGTTATTTTTCAAAATGAAAAGTCAACTACTAAAGGAATTTATGTATGATTTTTTTATTCATAGGAATTACAATTTCCATAATATATTTTGAATTTAAAATTTTGTGCATACAATCACAATTCTCTCATTACTTAGTCAATCTTAACAGTTCATTCATGTATGGGTTTAAGATTCTATTCTTAATTTAATTCAAAAAAATCTCATATATTGTCTAAAAATAGAGACAAAAATTTGATCGTGGATTATATAATTGAAGAAATTAATACTTTTTAATCTCATTGAAATATAATGAAATCTAATACTGGGAAAAAATATTGAAAAATGCGTGTGGCTTCTATTTTAATAAATATTATTCCTCAAATGAAAAGTTAACTACTAAAGAAATTGACAAGGGGTTTAGGATTCCAATCTTATTGCAACAATCAGCACCTCATCCCAAAACTGCTTTCACCATCATTCCTCATCGTTGCCATCTAGCCAACCCTCCCAATATTTCATGATCGAATTAAATGTCTGTTTACTTTAAAACTTAGTTAAACCTAATTATGAATATTCTTAATATATGCTTACAATAAACGAGACAAAAATAATAATATAAGTAAAATTAAAATATAGAAAAATAAAAAGATGAACTCTAAGATGAGGGATGAAAATATCTTTTCACCATCTTCATGTGTTATTAATAATTTAATAACACATCCAACGATTATAACTAGGTGTGACGTTGTTCACTATGCACCACTTTCTTTTGAGGCCTTCTTACATAAACTCGGAACTTTAGAGGAGTTTCACCAACTTTTCCCTGTAATATACATTTGCCATTGGAGTTTGGATGAGTTTACAAACAGGCTCAGATTATTAACATTGCAATAGTCTGCATGACAGTTCACAAAGTATGCATAATTTATTAATCATAATTAATATGTGACATATACAAGTCTCAGTAAGACCAATATAGAATAACCACTAAACTCCTTCGAAATCCAATAAGACCAGATATCTCATCATCAAGAACATATCCGGTTTTAGGCTAATTTCAATTCAGTTTCAGATTAATTTCCAAAACCAGAGTTTGACCTCCTCGTGTATTCTGCAACTAGTTGAGCAAGAGATGAAGATTTGTTCTTGAGCAGTTTCTTTGGCGAATCATATTCCTCAATCAACCCTGCAGGATCAATATGAATAGAGAAAACATATTCACATTTATCATGAGAAAAAGAAGAAAACCGTGATAAATGATGAAAGAAAATAAGTGATGTTGCATGTTTGGATTTGATTATCCTGGGACTGAAAGTAATAATCATTTTGTCTTTAAAAGCTTTCTGTGGAAGATAACAAAAAAAAAGATACTATTTCTTTAAATAACACCAAACAACAAAGTGATTTTAACCTTGATTTAGAAACAGCACCATGTCACTATCGATGATTGAAGTTATCCTATGAGCAATGGTAATGACTGTGCATTCGGAAAAATGTTGCTTAACAGTTTGCTGAATAATATTATCTGTGGCTGTATCAACCGATGCAGTAGCTTCATCAAGCACCAAGATCTTGCTTTTCTTGAGTAGAACACGGCCAAGGCAGACCAATTGCCTTTGACCCATACTCCAATTTTCTCCATTCTCAGTAACTGCAAAAGCTCATAATAATAAGGAACACATTCTTCCTAGTTACTACATTTAGAAATCATTGATACACATGCTACACACCTTTGGAATCAAGCTTCCCTTCTTTTTTCCTTACTTCATCTCCAAGTTGGCACATATCTAGAGCCTGAAATATTTCTTAAAAGAAATTAGCATGTATAACTTGCAATAAAGAGACAAGTTCTTCATAGTGACAAACAAAACCAAATTACCTCCCAGATCTTTTCATCTGTGTACTCTTCAAGTGGATCCAGGTTGGTTCTTACAGTCCCTTCAAACATTGTAGGATCTTGAGGAATAATGCTTAGTCTGGAACGCAAATCATGAATTCCAATCAAAGAGATGTTAATGCTGTCTATCAATATTTGTCCAGCAACAGGTTCAATAAGTCGGAAAAGTATTTGAACTAGAGTTGTTTTTCCACTTCCTGTTCTTCCCACAATGCCAGTTTTTGCTCCAGCAGTAAAAGTGCAAGTAAGACCTCTTAAAACAATAGGCAAGTGAGGAGCATATCGAACCTGCATCACACACTTGCTCATTAAGACTCTATATATACCATATAAAAAGTAATAATTATCTTGTAACCGAGAAAATATAATTGTCGCCTTCAATTCAGACTGGAATAGATGAATAACCTTTGAAATGTACCTGTAAATCCCGGATATGAACCTCTCCAAATGATGGCCAAGAATTATCCGGTTTGTTGTCTGTAATTACAAGAGGAGCTTCACTAGGAAGGGATGTGTACTGAAGTATTCTTTCAACAGATATAATTTTGTTCTCCAAATTACAAAGAAACCAGACTATATTAGCTTGTAGAGCATTTAGATTAAGTCCATATGTCACAGCCAATCCCGCAATTCCTTGAAAAAAAAAATTGGAAGTGAAAAATGAATGAAGTTTTGTGCTTAGCGTCACAAGGAATAAAATATGACAAGTGAATTTATGTCTTTTGAAGTACTCACCAGGAGCAGTCATTGAATTTGGAAAAGATATCAAGAAAACCAAACAAAAGGCAAATGTGAGAGTTGACAAAATATCCATTCTGAAATTCAGCCATTCCATTGCAGCAGCACTGTATAATTTGGGTTGGGAATATCTGTCTATCAATTTCATATTCATGTCATTAAATCTTGATTCTTGCTCAAAACATCTTATGGTTGTTGATCCAGAAATTGTTTCAGAAAAATGTTGTATAACTGGAGCTTGGCATGTACCAACTAATCGAGCCAATTCCCTTGCTGATGCAGAATAATATCGCTGCATTTATTGAATATCTCTATTAACATATGCAATGTTGTTTCCACAATAATATCAATCAGATTCATATGTTTTTCTTCCTATCAAAATTGCTGAGAAATGTGATAAAATTAAGTACACTTTAAATACTTAATTGTGTCTACAAAAATAAAATAGTATGAACGAAAATCAGATTCATTTGGTGAAATCTGCAGTTAGTGTTATCAATGTCAAATAATATAGGTTATATATTATCCATAAAACTACCTGGTACCATATGCATGCTGCCATGACAGGTATCAATATTATAAACACCTGCCATACAGCTTGAGATATCACAGTAATATTTCCCAAGAGTTGAACCAGATTGAAGGTAATTGCCCATAATATATTTGAAATGTACATATCTAGTGTGCTTTGGTCTGTTGAAGCCTGCAACAAAAAAGAAAAACAAAAATTTAGACAAAAATTACATTCAATATGGTCATTTGGAAAGAAAAAAAATAGAGAACTCAAACTTTCAAAAGCAATGCACTATCAGATAAATAAGTTGTGTCTTCAAATTAAACAAACGAGAAAAAGAAAAATTTAAACAAAAATTACATTCAATATGGTCATTTAGAACGAAAAAACTAGAGAACTCAAACTTTCAAAAGCAATGCACTATTAGATAAATAAGTTGTGTCTTCAAATTAAACAAATGAATAATTATCAACATATACAATGACATACTCTATTAAGGATTCGCCCACTTGGCGTGGCATCAAAAAATGATATTGGTGCACGAAAAATGCCCAAATGCATTTTGTTGAAAAGCATAGTGGCTGTCTTGTATCCAGCTACCACAGAAAGAAATGCTCTGGCAAAGGTGAAAATGGAGCTTCCAATTGCCAAAGCAACATAGACAACCATAAGTGTAAAGCTTCCAACGTCAGGTTCTGCAGTTGCTGAAACAGGAGTTGCCACAGTCATCCAATAATTGCTTGCAACCTGAAACCCCACAGTGAGCGTTTGTGAAAGTAATATGAAGGGTACAAGAGCTCCTCCATAGGCTGTTATGATGTATTTCCAGTATACTTTAAACCCAACTCTACCCTTTTCCCGTTCTTCTTCTTGAACAAGTTGTCCTTTGACCTCAACCATGTCATCTAACTTATCATTTTGATCATATATGTTTTCCACATTATGCTCAAGTTCAAAATCACTTAATGAATTTGTGTCCTCTTTGGTGGTGCTTGATATTTTAAATGTTGGTCTTCTCTCCAAGGACTTAATTGAAGATAAAGCTGCTTTGTGTGCACCTACAAGTTCCATAAAATCAGTGCCTGTCTGGAGAATGTCATTGTATTTTCCTGATTGAGTTATCCTTCCATCTCTCATGACCTAAACAAATTGTAAGCAAGATAAAAATACTGAGACAATAGTAACAGACCAAATGCTGTGGTTTGAATTCTTGAGCATGAAATCTATGAATCACTTACCAATATTAGATCAGCATCAGGTAAGAACTCTACTTGATGAGTAATGTATATCACAGTTTTTGATTTCAAAAGGCCAAGCAAGCCCTCCTGATAGAATCAAAGTTTGTATGAATAATTCGGATGTATCAAATTACCTCATCAAGAAAAAAAAAATCAATTGCAGTGTAGAGCTTAGAAAAATAGTACCTTAAAGAGATGGGATCCTGTATGAGCATCCACAGCACTGAAGGGATCATCAAAGAGATATATATCAGCATCTTGGTATAGAGCACGGGCTATTTGTACCCTTTGCTTCTGTCCACCACTCAAATTGATTCCCTTTTCTCCAATAATGGTCTGATCACCAAATGGTAGAACCTCAAGGTCTCTTGTCAAGGAACATGCTTCTAGCACCTTCTCATACTTTTCCCTCTCCATCTCTTTACCAAATAATATGTTATCTTCTATATTGCCACTTTGTATCCACGGCAATTGAGACACATAAGCCTTTGTTCCACATATCTTCAGGGTCCCAGTTATCTTTGGTACTTCCCCTATTATACAAGAAAGTAAACTAGACTTGCCTGATCCAACAGTACCACATACAGCAACCCTCATACCATGAAAAACTGTTAGATTTATGTCTTTCAATGTTGTATTAGGGGAAGATAAATCCCACGAGAAATTACCATCTACTAATTCAATTGCCTTATCTGAACTACCCCACGGAAGCTTCTCTACTACATCACTCTGCAACTCGTCTAGACAAAGAAATGATGCAATCCTTTCAAGCGAAACCTTAGTTTGTGCAATCATTGAAATCGTGTCAGGAAGAACGTAGATGGGCATTTGAAGAATTCTGAATGTTGCAAGTGCAGATAAGACCTTCCCTGATTCTAGTGGGATGCCTATAAGCACACAAGTCCCAAAAGTAACCACAGCAACGAAAGTTGGGGCATTATGGATGAGAAATCTAATAATTGTTGTACCAACCAGAACTTTCTTTAGCCATATCTCCTCAGTCTTCCTAAGCTCAATAATCTTTGATAAGAACTTCATCTCCCATGCTTGCAGCTTTAGAATCCTCATATTGTTCAGAGTCTCAGATGTAGCCTTCATTCTTTTATCTTTGAACTCCATTACCTTGCCTTGGAACTTTTCTTGCAATGATGCCACGGGAAGGTTTACCAACATCACAATTACAGTGGCAGCAAGAGCAGCTAAAGAAGCAACCCCCACACTTCTATACAATATAAACAGTGCCAAAGCAACTTGAAGAACACACATCCATGGTTGATGCATGTACCAACAAAATTCACCAATCCTTTCAGCATCAACAGTCATTAAGTTAATGATTTCCCCTGTGCTGTGACCCTCCTTTGATTGGCATGAAAGAATCAACCCTTTAGTATAGATCATTGCCACCAACTTTGATTGCATCCTTACCCCCACCTGCTGGTACCTGAACATGTAGTGCCTCTCTGAAAGTCCCTCCACAAGCTTTGCAGCAACAAACGCCATAGCCAAAACATAGCCTTCATTTTTAAACTTGTGTTCCCCATTGAGGTATTGAACACAGATGTCAATAAGAAAGGGTCCAACATAAGAAGCACATGCATATAGGAATGCAAATATACCTGATAAAAGGATCCCTTGCCACGTTGACAAGAATAAAACCTTTGCGAGCTTAAGAGTGGTCACTCTCCTAACACTACCACACTCTGACTCAAGTCTGCTTCTAAAAGTTGGATAAATCCCATAGGCACTATCATCAGTCGCAAGAAGTGGGAGGTCCTCGTGATCTAGAGTTTTCCCATTGCCTAGAGTTATTAATGGACTAATCCATGAGAAAGTAAGAATGCTGAAAAATCCAGCATTTGAATAAAGGGTTAAATTTTCATTTCCTCTAGTCTTACTGGGGTCAGAATTGTTGCTTACCCGAGAGTCACCATTCAAAAGGGGCTCTTCAAGAGGGGCAAGCTTAGCCATATTGTTAACACAACATCCCACATAACACATAAATAAACCCGTGATAGAGGATCCAATATCAGAAACAAGGTACATAACTGGCAATAAAACATGGTTTCCATAGACTACAAAGTCGATAACAAGACAAGAACAAGAAAAAAAGGCATAGACCCCGCACCAAATTCTCAACAAACATGGCAAACTCGGATCCTGAGCCTTGGAGTTTGTAGAATGTAAATAAACACAAATAGCACCCCAAACAAATGTTTTGAGAGCCAAATCAGAAAGTGCTACAAGCTCCTCTGAACCATCATGTTTATACAAGTAAAAGTAGCTTACTAAGCACAACAAAAAGTTGAACACACATATCACTAAGCTACAAACCAGACTGAGTTTGTAGTACAAGAAACCAGAATTATGGACTCCATTTCTTTCACTCTTCTCTCTATGGTCCACGTGCACTTTCTTCCATACCCAAGACAGAACAAGCACAAGTAACAAGACTAGGTGTAGTGAAGCAGATACCTCACGTGTGAAAATGGGTTGCAGTAGAAAATCAATTCCACGGTGCATCGTGGAAGAAGAAAAGTAGCAAGAGAAGAGTGAGAACATGATGATATTATACAGATTAAAAGAAACAAAACCAAGCAAAAGGCTTCACTTTGTAGATATTTTGTGGGTTGATGGATCGTAATGGTTGACTTGTTAACTTGGTTCCAAAGTTGGAGTTACTTAGTTATAAAGGTGTCTAGTCCGTGAGAGAGTGGAAAAGAGAATGTTAAAGCTAGAAATCAAACTAGAAAATTGGGTAACTCCATTTTTAATGGAAGATGGTGAAGTTGCTGATTTATTGCAAGATTTTCTGCGAAAGTCATGTGAACATCCTATTCTGGAGTTCCATATTAAAGGATAATATTTACATATCAATTCTTTGTAATAATCTCTGTCTTATACTCTTGTATCATACTACCAAAACGTTGTTTTACTTGGTGGTGACGGTGATTTTGGTAAAGTTTCGACCTTTTTTTTATATAGAAAAATGTGATTACGGGGAAATTTTATTAAAAATAATTAGGTAATAAGGAAACTTCATATTAAATAAGATATTAGAATTTCCAAAAACAACATTAGTAAAGAGAAAAGAATTGCAAAATTTTATAATTTTTAATAAAAATTATTAAAGAATATAATTTTTCTTGATCTATATATAAGAAGAAAAAATACTTAATTTTTTTGGATTAAATATAAACAAATTTCCTTCAAATTAACTTTATTTAATAAAAATTTCAATCAAGTCAACTTTAAATGGAACATTATTTTCTATTTAGTATGATTAAGAGTATTATAGAAAATATAATGTACTCCTTCATTACATTTTGTTTGACTTTAAGTTTTTGTCAAAACTTAAGAAATACAATTAATTTCTTATTTCATAAAATAAATTATGTTACTTTGGAATATACTCTTAAATCTTGTGGATTCTCATCAATAATTAAAAAATGTATTAATAATGATTAAGAGTATAATATTAAAAAAATAATGTTCCATTAATATTTTAAAATAGCAATCAAATTAAAACAGATAAAAATTATTAAAATGTCAAACAAAATAGAATTGATGATGAAGTACATTTTATGTGAAATCACAAAAATTAAATATATTTAATTAATTTTTTAATATGTGTAAAATTGGTCTTTTTAAAATATCTAAGTGCAAATGGAGTATATATTAAAGAAAATAAAATGGTTGTTTGAAAAACATTTATAGTTATTCCTTGAATCAATCAACAGAAATTACATAATCACATTTTACATTCTTCATGTCGTCCTTAGAATCAAATAAGTTGAGGTAGGAGAGAAGGAGATACTCACACTAGTACACAAAGGGTCTTTTACGTCGCGTATTTTGAGCTTTTTACATCGGAAAAGGTTCCGACATCAATACGGGAGACGTAAATTTACGTCGCCTCTGAAAGACGACGTAAATTTACGTCGGGGATTCTCTCCGACCGACGTAAAAAGGGACAAAAACATGCCACAATTTTACGTCGGACAACGCCATGTCCGACGTAAATTGTGGGAGTTTTTTTTTTAAACTTTTATAAATTTTTTATATACCCAACACCTGCATATAAATATAGTCCAAAATACCAAATCTAAACCAAGCAGTCTAGAATAGAAATTCAAAATTGAATGACAAAAAAATAATATATAAATCTTAAAAAACATAAATTATGACAATGTAAATCCTATTATCCTAAAAAAGCTATAAAACATATGTTTGTCAATGCTATCTAACTAACTAAACTAACTAACTATCAAACTATAAACATAATATCTAACTCAAGAAACAATGTCAAAATAGGAAATTATTACCAGAATTTAGTAAAATTTACAGCTAAATCCTAAATGACTCACTAACACAAATCTAAACTAATACATGAATATATGACACTAAAAGAAGTCAAACAAAAAAGCATATAAAGAAAGATGTATTAAAATATGACTATCAAATACCTCTACACTTAATCCATTGCACACCGAAGCAAACTCAAAAACTTACATACAACTCAAAAGGAAAAACAAAAAAAAAAGTCTTTACAAAAATTTTAAAACTTTCTAATGAATTTCCAATGCATAGAAAAGAGAAAGACAACAAACATTCCTAGAATCAAGGCAACAAACAATCTATGAGACATAAATGATATTAAAATTTCAATAAGGTTGATTGGGGACTAGAAGTAGGTCATAAGTGGATGTGACTAGACAAATATAAATTGATTATGCATTTTTTTCCTCTCTCTCTATACTTGATTTTACATTCTTGCAATTAAGTTTCTATGTTTGTTGTTATATGTTGTGAGACATAAACATTGCATGCAAAATTGAGTGATTTTGCATTGAATTTGAACTTAATATCCTATATACATCTATAAATCAAAGTACTTCTTTGGAAGGATTAATAAAAGTTTTTCAAAATCAAGAAAGCTGTGCAACAATTTTTTAAGCTACCAATTCACCCCACTTTTGGTTAGGTCATCTTTTCTAACAATAGTATCGTGAAAGAAGAGTGAAAAGAACCCCTATCGTGGAACTCGACTACATCTTATGCCATGAATCAAAGTAAGATGTTTCTCACTTCCTTTATTTGTGTTTGTTCTTATTATATGTTGTTGTAGGTGATTTAAATCATGAGGTTGATAATGTTGGGAATGAGGCATAATCCTTGCAATTGAGTTTATGTTTTATAGGATGTGACATCATAACTTAGTTAGGAGTTATCTTTTTTTTTTTTCATGTTTTGAGACAATTGTTAATTTTCTTGAAATAGATTTCGTTGAGATTTCAGTTGGTTTTATTTTATTAAAAAAGTGATACCTTCTATATTAAACACATTATACTTTATTTATGAAAGACTTTTCTATTCAATTTTATTTATTCGTATATTATGATAAAGAGATAAAGAGTGACACAAATATAAATATAAATTTGTAAAAATCAACCCCTTTATATAAAAAAACGAACAACTATAATAATTTTTAGGACTTCTTATTCTGATAGATGATTTTCAATGATTCTTTTAATTTCATATCTAATTTGATTTTTATTTATTATAATTATTTATAAATTAAATATTAATATTTTAAAAATAAATAAAAATATTATATTACATTATTAATTATTTATCATAAATTTAAAAATAATTTTATATGTAAAAAATGTACTTATTCAAATTTAAAATATAATTTATATATTTAAATATAAAATTTATTTATAAACATAATTTATTTTATATTTTAATTATATATAATAAATATTTAATCTGTAATTTTCTAAAACTAAAATATAATATTTTAACTTATTGATCAAAGTTTTTGCAACTCTCAATCTCATTTTTCTTCATTGATTTGAATAGGCAGACTTATTGTGAAAAATACTTGTGGTTTAGTGTTTTTTTTATTAATATTGTTTTTTTTTTGGTGATTTTAAGATTTGTACCACATAATATATACAATGCTGTTCCTTCTCTATATTAAGAAACATAATTAATTAATATATATATTTTTTCTTTCTATTTCTTGTTATCATAATATGTTATTATTTTTTAAGATTTATAAAATTAATTAATATGTTTATAAAATTGAAACCTAATTTTGTTTATGGATCATGCTTAGATTCATCATAGAATTGTAATTACATTCACATTATTGAATAGACATATGTTTAGAGACATGTTTGCATTCATATTGTAATTACATTTAGGATCATTATGAATCATGCTTAGATTCATCATAGAATTGTATTTAAGATCATGAAAAATTCGGGCACACTAGAATTTAGAGTCACCATTCACATTGTACATACATTATTGCAAGAGTCAATAGTGCTCCTCAATGATCGGGCACCAAAGAAATCTCGGTGGCTCCAAGAACCACCAACACCACGCACACGGCCTCCGTGCTCTGACCTTCCTATGGCCGTTGTGAGGATATCATTCCGACTATCGGAAAAAATTGAGCCCTGGGTGCTCTACTCAACTAAACCCTCTTACAACATATTAACAATAAGTATAGCGGGCACACTAGAATTTAGAGTCACCATTCACATTGTACATACATTATGGCCACATTAAAAGGACTATGCTCAAATTCATTGTGCAATTGTAATTAGCATCATCAAAAACTCGAGCACTGTTACATTTAGAATCACGAAAGCAAAGTCGGACAGTGCATTCTGTCCCACTTTTACAACATGAAATGCTTTAAGGGTCAACCATTAAAGCACATGCTTAGATTCATTATTACATTCATATTATAATTGCTTTTAGGGCAATCAAGGCCTATACTAGCATTCATAATACATTATATAAATAATAATTGATTACGAAAGCAATACGATAATTTTAATAGAATACACAAAATAGAAAAATAAAAATCAACCAACACCAAATTTTAACGTGGGAAAACCCTCAATATGAGGTAAAAACCCACGGGACCTAGGGCACACTAGAATTTAGAGTCACCATTCACATTGTACATACATTATGGCCACATTAAAAGGACTATGCTCAAATTCATTGTGCAATTGTAATTAGCATCATCAAAAACTCGAGCACTGTTACATTTAGAATCACGAAAGCAAAGTCGGACAGTGCATTCTGTCCCACTTTTACAACATGAAATGCTTTAAGGGTCAACCATTAAAGCACATGCTTAGATTCATTATTACATTCATATTATAATTGCTTTTAGGGCAATCAAGGCCTATACTAGCATTCATAATACATTATATAAATAATAATTGATTACGAAAGCAATACGATAATTTTAATAGAATACACAAAATAGAAAAATAAAAATCAACCAACACCAAATTTTAACGTGGGAAAACCCTCAATATGAGGTAAAAACCCACGGGACCTAGTCCAGTAAAAAATTCCACTAATAATAATCAATGAGTACACAAGTCTTCCTAGACCCTAAACCCTAAACAAGGGATAACAAGAAATAGTTTATCACCAATATGGTGGATAACAATACAAGAAATGTGTATCTAGCTAAACAATAGAGACTAAAATAAACAAAAATTGGTAACAAATATTTCTTCTCCAAATTGGTTGCTCTACTTCTTTCTTCTCACAAAGTTCTTCTTCTCTCTGAAGACGCTTTGAATTTTCCTTCTTCTAAAAGGTTGATATCACATTACAAAGACTAATCACACCTAATACTAATACAATTAACATACAACCAACATATTGGACTGTATTTATTTATTTATTATTATTATAAGTCATCGAGTCCAAATAAATTGGTGAACAATTTCACAATCATAATGAATCAAAAGGTGCAATTAGAATCTTGAAGAGCCACGCATTCC